AGTTAGGAGTCAGGACATCCTGCAGGAAACAAATGTAGTTGTTTTACGGATGAATTCTGCATTAGGGCCAAAAGACAAAATTTGTCTAAAGTAAACCAAGATCAGTTAACAAAGTCTTAACATTTTTATAGCATTTTTATTTCATTTTCACAAGTAAAATGAAATAAACATTAAAATTGTTGGATAATGGATTAAAGCAAAGATTTATCATTTCGGTACCCTCCCGTAAATGCTGCAATTTTTTGAGCCTTTATATTCGGTAATGATATTTACGCTCCAGGGAGTGTAAATAATCGTGGTGATGGCAGCTTTCTAAATTTCCTAATGCCCATGAAGTGAAAAATATTTTAGAATGAAAAACAGAAAAATAAAGGTAAGGCATGGCAGAAGTTGGGTTTGAATGGAGAGACGTGGCAATGTAGTCACTACGGGATTGCCAAATGAAACAAAGAAAATAAGTGGATGGATGAGTTACCTCCTGGAGAGACCACCCTCCTCCATTTCCAAATCCTTGACAGCTCTATCCCTCCCCTGGCTAGCCATGTGGATGATGAAGTATTTAGCTTAGAAAGCGTCATTGAAATTCAAAGTAGAGAAAAATAAAAAAATAAAATAAAATAAGACCTGACCAAATGAGTTTGTTGGTTCCAATGAGAGGACTGGTGGCAACATCAATAATTCCATGGGCAACTCTATGCACCCTGAAACCAACTTAGGAATAAGTTCGAAGTTGAAAGAGAAAAACGAAAATTTTGAAAAGATAGACAAGAGAGAACCAACCATGTAGACGACACCGTCCAATGCTGAATTATAGCCCAAGTCATAACTCACCATCAGAAGGGCTGCAAAAAAATATCACCACTAGTTAATTATATAATTATTTTATTTTGCTTGCTTTGCATCAAATTAAAATTAAGCAAAGAGTTGAAGAGAAAATTTGCTTCAAAGCTGCAAACAAAATATCTCCACCGCACATTTTCACTTCTAAACTCTCGGAACTAAAAACTTATATATATAGATATATTTAATGTATTATTTAATAATAAAAAAAACTAAAAGAATATATTTTTAAAAATTTATGGACAAAAAGAGTATAAAATAATAGCTTGGTGACTAAAAATGCTTAAAGTTAAAAGTGTAAAAACTAAAAATGAAATTTAATTAAATTGAAATAAAAGTTGACATTCATTGGTGGTGGAGCTTGATTTGCGGAAATTAATCTAATAAGTGTATTGGTAGCTCCAAATAATATAATGATAAGAAAAGTCTTAAATTTATAAGAATCGTAACTAATTAAATATCAAAAAAAATTAATCTAGATTTACTTTTTTTTTTAACAGCAAAAAATAACATTTATTAAAAAGTGAAACACAAGGAGTACTCCAAACTCATAAACATTTCAACTTGAAAGACATAAATTAATGAGAGCCGAACAGTCTTTGCTAATTTTGGATGCTTACTGTATGGTGTCGACACCAAAATTATGTGTCGACAGCACACCCGTGTCGGCTTTCTGTCCTCTTTTGCAATTTCTTCGATGGGAGAATAGCACATCAAGTCTTTCGAAAACACACCACAGGGTTCTGCAGCCAATCCCAACTGGAAAACATTCAGCCAGCAACCCTTCCTCAAATCCAAAAAAATGCTAAGACTTTGGACAGATTTCTTCTTAAAACATACATAAATACACAATTCAAGAAATTTGCTAACCATTCCTCATGCTCAATCTAGGATCTTGCAACCAGTTTGGGAGGGAAAATTTGTGTCCTCTTTTTCTCTCCTTGAGCCATATGAACGATCTGGCTTGAATCAATTGAAATAGTTGGTCTGTATCCACTGTCTCATTGTTGAAGATTTTTCCATTACGAGCTAACCAAATTGTCCATATGACTGCAAACCAAATCAACTCCCATCCCTCCCTTGACCTTTTATCTTTGAACCAGCCTTCATGTTGAACAAAAGCCTCTTAACAGGATTCAGCAAGAACACCTTCCACACCCCACCAACGACAACATCTTCCCCACAATATATTAGCTATATGGCAGTGTAGAAATAGGTGCCCTGTTGATTCATCACCCTCCTCACACATTTTACACATAATCATACTAACATCTCTCAATACACCCCTCATCCATAAATTAACTTTAGATGGAATTCTATCTTGTGTGACTAGCCAATTGAATGCACTGACCTTTGTGGGTATGTGGGGGTTCCAAATCTTGTTGAAAATTACCCCCCTTGTGGATGAGAAGGATCTTGATAGTGTCTGGTTTTTTTTGAACAGCCAAAAAAACTTTTTTTTTTATTTATTTTTAGAGTACAAGGGGTACTCTTGCCCATCTACATTCATTTTCTCTTTGATTTTGACAATATCAAGCACTTATTTGGGTCTTGGCACCAATCAGTAAATGAAAATTTCCAATCACTTTTGTTCCCACTAATCCACAAATAAGATCTCCTCCGAACTAATTCCAATCCATCCTCCACATTAGCTTGCTTATCATTGAAAACTGCATCATTTCTCGCCACCCATATAGTCCATGTCACTGCAAACCATATCACTAGCCAGCTCATCCTTGCATTTGTTACACCACTAAGCTGGTCAAAAGCTGCTTTATAGTCTTGATGCATTACATGAGATACTCCCCACCATTTGGCACATTTCATCCATAAAGAATAGGCAAAGTCGCATTCTAGCATAAGATGATTAGTGTCCTCACTATATTTTTTGCAAAGCCCACATTTGTCTTCTTCCCCATTCTTAATGATGTTCCTTTTTATCAGGTTTATTTTGCAAGGGATTCTGTGTTGGAGGACTAGCCAAGTGAATGCACATACCTTGCTAGGAATTGTAGGATTCCAGCACTTCTTTAGTAGTTTTTTGCCTTCCAAAGCCTCGTCCCTTGCTAACAAAGCATAGGTAGATTTCACATTGTAGTTGCCCCCTTGGTCATGTGCCCATCGCCAGCTGTCCTTCACTCCTTTTCTTAGTTGTATTCCCTGTATAATTTCCATGAGTTCCGTGACCTGCTCTACCTCCCTAACCAGCAAATGTCTTCGCCAATTTAAGCACCATCTCCATGCATCACCCTCCCAATGGCCCATTTCATTGATTGTGCATCCTTTACCTGCAGAAAGAAGATATAATCTTGGAAATTTCTCTTTTAAACACCCATTTCCCACCCAGACATCCCTCCAAAAAGACACTTCGTTTCCTTCTCCTACTTCTACACTAAATCCCGATTCCAACCACTCCTCTTTGTTCACACACCTCCAGTTTATACTACATATGTCTCTCCACCAATTTGAACTTATATTTCTACCCTCCCTCATCCAATCATGCCAATTTGTCCCATTCTTCCCATATCTCTCCTCCAACACCCTCTGCCATAAGCCCTTACTCCCATCACCTAATCTTCCCCACCACTTTCCTAGGAGAGCTAAATTAAACAACCTCAAATCTTTTATGCCTAAACCCTCATCCTCTTTTCTTTTGCACACTTTATCCCACCCAACCCAGGCAATTTTCTTTCCCTCTTCCCTCCCTCCCCATAAGAAGCCCCTACGTATGGTATCAATAGCTTTAATCACACCTTTTGGAAGTAAGTAAGTGGACATGAGAAACACAGGAAGACTGGTAAGCACAGAGTTAATCAGGACAATTCTTCCTCCCAAAGATAGATATTTATTATTCCAACCAGATAATTTTTTCTTGAATTTATCAATCAGCCCCTTCCACATCTTTAATCTACGAGTACTCATACCAATCATCATTCCCAGATATTTCATCGGAAGCTCACCAATATTGCAATTCAAAAAGTGGGACATTCTGCTCACCTCCTCCTCTTTAACATTTACACCAATAAGCTGGCTTTTATTGTAGTTAATTTTCAGACCTGACACCAACTCGAAAGTCCTCATGATGCCTTTTACTGCTTTCATATTTTCCTCTGTTGCCTCTTCGAACAATATTGTATCATCTGCAAATTGCAAATGTGTGATCATCAAGCTTCCCTTCCCCACTGCTACACCCTTGAATAGATTATGTTCCACCGCAGAGTTAATAATCCCATTTAACCCCTCTGCAATAATTAAAGAGAGAAAAGGGGAGAGTGGGTCTCCTTGTCTAAGTCCTTTGCTTATTTTGAACTCTCTTGTTGCACTGCCATTCAATAAGACTGACACTGAACTTGAGGCAAGGCATTCTTTTATCCATTGTCTCCATTTATCTCCAAACCCCATGCTGGATAGCATAGAGTCTAAAAAATCCCAACAAACATTATCATACGCCTTCTCAACATCCGCCTTGAAAATGAAAATCCTTTTTCTCTTCTTCTTTGCTTCATCTATTGTTTCATTTGCGACTATCACACTGTCCATCAGTTGCCTTCCTTTCACAAATGCCAACTGATTATCATCAATAATTCCCTCCATCACCTTCATCAATCTGTTGGCCAACAACTTTGCTATGATTTTATACATACAACCAATCAAAGATATAGGTCTGTAATCTTCAATTTTAATTGGATTCTCCTTTTTTGGGATTAAGACCACAAAAGGAGAATTTGACCCTTTAACAAGTCGTCCATTTCTATGAAATTCATTCACAAAAGCGCTAACTTCATGCCTTATGGACTCCCACATTTCTTTGATGAAACCAAAACTAAAACCATTTGGTCCAAGTGCTTTCATACTGTCACGGTCCCATACTGCTTGCTTTATTTCTTCTTCTATGAATTGAGCTATTAACATCTCATTTTCTGCTTGAGAAATTCTGTTGAACACCACTCCATCTAACTTTGGTCTCCGTCATCCCTCCTCCTTAAATAGACTTTCAAAATGTTTTACCACCCCATTCCTGAGTTCTATAACTTCTGATAATTGCTTACCTTCTATCTCTAAGCAGTTTATCTCATTCTGTCGCCATCTATTCTTGATACATTGGTGAAAAAAATGGGTAATCTTGATAGTGTTTGGTAACCTGAACTTGCACTGTAGATGCCATTTTTTTTTTTATCAGCAAAATGAAATTTATTGAATGGAGTACAAGGGGTACTCCAACCCACATACAAAAATAAAAGAGAAAGTAAACCAACACCCTCCCTTCAAACAAGTAACCAACACACCAAATATCACAAGACCTGAGAAACGCCCATTAAAAAAATGCCAATTTAGGGCGGTAGAAAGCCCTTGCCACAAAGCCCATAGAAATCCCTTCAAACTTCACGTAACCATCTCCAGCGCGTATTACAATAGCATAGACGCAGCACCTTAAACTTGAACGCTATCTGCAGACGCATACAGCCTCTTGTAATTCCTTAGGTTCCTGCCATGTTGAACAATGGCCTTCTTGCACTCCAAAGGTCGCAAAATCCAATCTGTATAGGAAAAACTGCAGCCTTGTTGCTTATTTTTCAGCCAGAAAAAAGATTTAGATTGAATAGAATCCAATATCCGCTCTTCGAACCTTTCACCTGCCCCAAACACTTTCAAATTTCGCCAAAACCAAATATACCAAGCAGTAACCAAAAAAATAAGAGGCCCTAAATCCGTCCAAGTCCCCCCATTGATTCCAGCCACCACCGCATCTGCCATTCCAAAGACATCATTTGGCAAAGCACTCTGTACACCCCACCAACCCAGAACCTTCATCCACACCAGCCAAACTGGTTTACAATGACAAAAGATATGCTGGAGTTGCTCGACATCCTCATGGCAAAGCCCGCAACAAACATTCCCCCCTGGAAGAGCCACCCCTCTCCGACACAAGTTATCCTTTGTAGCTAACCTGTTCAAAAAAAATCTCCACCCAAATACGCTCAATTTGGAAGGTACATAACTAGCCCAAATGACCTTAGACCATTTCTCATCCAAAATACAACATTTCGATGATAAAAAATCATAAGCCTTCTTAGCCGAATATACACCATCACCACTATGGATCCATCTCCAAGTATCAGCTTCTCCCTTATGCAACCTGACCCTATTAATCAACTCCCTAAATTGTTCTTCCTCCCCCACTCCCCTCCCTACACAACCTCGCCTCCACCTACAATCCCAGACCCAATCTTCAGCACTCCAATACCCCATATCCTTTAACTGTCCCTCCCTACTATTAGCCAAAGCATATAACCGAGGGAATAAATTCCTCAATGGTTTATCCCCCACCCATTTATCATGCCAAAAATCTACACAACTCCCATCCCCAACCTTCCACTGAAAACCTTTTCCTAACATTGCATCCAACCTTTCCGACCCTCTGCCTAGGCCCATAATATCCTTCCACACACCGGACATATTCCAATTCACAACTGACGTAATATCAACCTCCTTTCTACCCCCATAATATTTCTCCCAAAGAATCCGCTTCCATAAACCCTCAACGCCATCACCTAGCCTATACCACCATTTTCCCAACAAACTGCAATTTCTCCTCTCCAAATCAGCCACTCCTAAGCCTCCTCTCCCCTTTTCCACACACATGTCCTTCCAACTAACCCATGAAATTTTCCTATCCAAATTGACGCCCCCCCAAAAAAAACTTCTTTGAATTTTAATCATCTCCCGAATAACACATTTAGGAATCTTAAATAAAGATAAATAAAAAATAGGGATAGCAGAGAGTACCGAATTGATTAAAGTTATCCGACCTCCGAAGGACAGCAAGGAGCTTTTCCAAGAGGCAAGCTTTTGGCGGAAGCGATTCAGCACGGGGTTCCAAAACTGTCTTCTCCCTGAATTCCCTCCTACTGGCAATCCAAGATAAGTAAACGGCGCTTTGCCCACCCCACAACGCATAATATCAGCTGCACCCTTTACCCACCCTTCGGACACATTGAACCCATACAAATAGCTCTTCCCAAAGTTAATCTTCAACCCTGAGATCAATTGAAACCAATTCAGAATGGCCTTCACAACCCGTAAATTATCCACATCTGCCTTCCCCATAAACACCGTATCATCCGCAAACTGTAACAGTGATAACACCATACCTCCCCTTCCAATCTCCACACCCTTCAGGAGTCCTTCACCTTCTGCTTTTTTAACAAGCCCACCCAACCCTTCAGCAACTAACAAAAACAAAAAAGGGGACAAAGGATCACCTTGGCGAAGACCATTGCTTATTGGAAACTCCGTCGTCGGGCTTCCATTGATCAAAATGGAGATTCTAGCAGTTGAAAGACACTCCCTCATCCACTTCCTCCACTTCACCCCGAACCCCATTCTATTCATCATCCAATCAAGAAAGCCCCAATCCACACAATCGTAGGCTTTCTCAAAATCCGCTTTTAAAATGAAACTCTCTTGCTTCCTCCATTTCACCTCATGTACAGCTTCATTCAAAACTAACACACTATCTACCAATTGCCGACCTCCAATAAAAGCTGTCTGCGACTCACTGATAATACCCTCCATAACCATTTTCAACCGATTGGCCAGCACCTTGGCCAATAATTTATATAGGCAACCTATCAAGCTAATAGGCCTATACTCCTTAAACTGCTCAGGATTCAATTTTTTAGGTATTAATGCCAGAAATGAAGAATTTAAACCGTTAACTAACCTCCCATTGCGATGAAAGTCCATCAAAAAACTCACAAAATCATCCTTCACAGTACTCCAAGCAAACTTTATAAAATTAAAGTTAAAACCATCTGGACCTGGAGCCTTGGATCCATCACAGTCCTTTAGCCCCTCTTCAATTTCTTCTATGGTAAAAGGTCGTTCTAGCCATTCTCGCTGTGCATCTGAAATTCTTCGGAATTGAATCCCATCCATCGTCGGTCGACACCATTGTTCCCTCTGAAATACCTTGGTGAAGTACTGCACTGCTGCCGCCTTAACAAGCTCAGGTTCCTCAACCCAACCTTCGTCGCCATAAATACCTGAAATTGCATTTTGGGCTCTCCTGGCGTGCACGCTCCTATGAAAGAATGCTGTATTTGCATCCCCGAGCTGGGCCCAATTAACTCGAGATTTCTGTTTCCATACTGATTCCCGCTTCTTTAATAAGTCCCACAGCTCATGAAAAGCCTCCCTTCGCTGCTTCACCTCTATCTCATTCAATCCTTCTACTTCGCATTTTTTATCCAGCCTATCAATCTTTTGCCTCAAGTTGTCAGATCGGATCTCCACATTGCCAAACACCCTGTCATTCCACCTTTTACAATCCTCTTTTAACAATTTCAACTTCTGTTTGCACTTGAAAGCTGCCCATCCTTCGATCTGCATCATCTTCCATCTTTCATCTATGAACTGTCTAAAATCTTTATGTTGTTGCCATGCATCTAGGACCCGGAAGGGCTTAGGCCCCCAATCCACACTTCTTGATTTCAAAATAATTGCACAATGATCTGAGATTGACCTTCTAATGCCCTCTTGAATCCAGTCTCCCTCTATTAAGCTCATTTCAGTGGATAGCAAGAACCTATCGAGTCTACTCATTGAAGTTCCATCAGGTCTATACCATGTATACTTTCTATTCCTCAACCTGACATCTACCAATCCAGTCCCTTGCACAAAAAGATTGAATTCTTCCATGTCCTGTGTCTCACCCATCCTTCCTTTCCTCTCGGCACTATTGCGAACAGCATTGAAATCCCCTGCCAAAAGCCATCTCCCCCCCTCTTCCAATACTAATCTACTCAATTCCCCCCACAACACAATCCTACTTTGCCTGTCACATGGTGCATACACATTGACAAAAGTGCACTGAAGTTGTTGCCTACCCCACTCCCCCGAAATCCCGATGAACCCATGTCCTTCCACTACACTTCTTTTTACAAAGTTCTGTTTATTCCATATACACAATAGACCACCAGAAGTACCATTTGATTTTTGCATCACCCACTCAAAATCATCTGAATTCCACACCCCTCGACACATAGAAGACTCAATTTTTTCAAGCTTTGTTTCCTGAATAAACAGGAAATCAGGATTCTCCTTTCTCACTAGCTTAGAAATCTCTTTTCTCTTCACCACACTACCCAAACCCCTCACATTAAATGAAACAACCTTCATAATTAAATTTCATACCTCACCCTCCGTCGGCCACTCCGAACCACCTTGTTATGTCACCTTGTAATTGGCCTCTTCGCCCTCTTCCAGCAGAGCTAACCGGGACATCACCTCTTCCTCATTTTGGGTACACGTAACCCCTAATCTTTGCCCCAACATAAACAGCCTCTGCACTTCGTCCAGCTGGATCTGCTGCCGAATCGCGCGGTTACGATTCTGGATACACCCATCGGACAGAGAGCAACTCACCGTCTGCATCTCCGGCCTTGAGTCCTCTCGGCTGACCTTGCTTCTCCGCTCCCTCCTACTTTTCGTCCTTGCTGTTACCCAATTCGCCTCCCCTGCCTTCAATTTCTCCCTCCCATCCACTGGATCCCCGATTCCCTCAGCCTCCGCGTAAATGGCCCCCAAAGCTCTGCACTTCTTTTTATTTTTTCCCTCATGTTGCTGAAGCACGCCACCGATAGACCCACCTTCAGCCCTTTGATCAACATTTGTCTTTGCTGCCAGCCCAACTATATCTACACCCTCCGGCCCAAGAATATCTTCCCCCTCCGGCCCAACAAAATCGGCCCCATCCAGCCCGTGTATCTCCATCTCATTTATTTGAATATTTTCAAAATATTCATCAGACTCCTTGCCCGTTACAACTTGAAGATCGTCATTTCCCGCTGTATTCTCGCCACAAAATTCGGTTGCCATTAAGCCAGATTCGCTGCCATCATCACTCGAATATTCGGAATTTGATTCAGCAATCGGATTCCGTCGCTCGCCGGCCAGCCACCAGTCGGGGTCCATCCTCCACTCCTCCTCTGCCACTTCGATCGGATAAGCTTCGCCACCCACCTTCAACATTATTGTTGCAGAAATTTTGGCCCTTGATTCACACAGGATTAGAACCCGACCTTCGCACAGAAATGACTTGCTCTTTGTGTCCTCATCCACGAGCAAGACCTCGCCAATTAGACCCCCTAACTCAGCAAAACATCTCTCACTCCATGACTGTAAAGGGACACCAGAAAAACGCAGCCAAGCCAAACGACTTGCTGATGAAACCGTGGATAAGGATGTTGGTTGCACCCATTCAAACCATAACTCTGTTAACTCCTTATTATTTGCTATGAACTCCACGAGACATCCTTCTGAATTATCTACCAAAATGATCTGTCGACCCCCTAACAATGCAACATTCACCATTAAACCGTCAACATCCATCCTATTCTGAATTTGTCTCACCATATCTAGAGATCGAACCACAGCCACCATACTTCTGTGCAACCATGCCACTTCCTCATCTCTAGGAGCAAAATCTAACACCAAATCACCTTTTAAAGGAGACGACGCCCCATCTACCCCCTCTGTTATCATTGGCACAGAAATCGTTTCTGATTTTTTCCCATGGACCACTGCAGAAGCCTTCATCGCTGCACCCTTCAGTGCAACCGTGTCCGCTGTTTCCACCCTTTCTCTCGTCGAGGACAATCCTTCCGCTATTGCACCCAGATTAGCAGTAACAGCTTGAGCATAAGACCTCCCTGGTCTGACCATCAAATCCCTTCGAACCCATTGTTTCTCTGCCCTTCCTTTTTGAGCCGCCCTAATCTCATCCCTCCCTTTTTTCATATTCTCTGCCAACTTTACTTTAAGGTGATAGGAATCCAACCAAATCTGGTTTAGCCTTCTCTCCATATCCTTAACATCAAAAGCACCCGACATACGAACAAACCCAAACCGACGACCTCGTCGATCACGCCTTGTGGGGATGTACACATCCACCACCTTCCCATATGACCAAAAACAGAACCACAGATCCTTCGCTGACCGATCCTCTGGAAAATCATAGAAGAAGAACGTTGTTGCCTGCTCTAGGAACCCCTTGCCAAACCCTGGAAGCCGCCTCCGAGCCCCACTGTCCTTGGCTGTCGAAAACCTTGCTCTAATCCTAGCACTCTCTCTCTCTCTCATCTCTGTAGCAGCTAAGAGAATAACATAGGTTGAACGGCCTATTTCCTGTAGATGCCATTTTGATCATGTTTCCAGTGCCATACATCCCTTCTTCCCTTGATAAGTGATTTGGTGTTCAACCTACTAATCATATTCTGTAATTGGATAGCTTCCTTTTCCCAGAGAGCACGCCTCCACTTCTAATCTAGATTTACTTAAACAATTGAAAAAAAAAATTAATTAAAAATAATAATAAAATAACTATTAAAATAAAACTAACCAAGATATTAGGTATTGAAGCATTGATTTTATCATAATCAATCAATATAAATTTTGGATTAATATGTTTTTAAAACCAATTGATTGAATGTTATTGTGTGTGATAGCGAATCCCCTTAAACTAAATTCAAGGGAAAATATATATATATATATATATATAAAAGAACTAACGATCTGTTGATCCGAGTGGAAGGTGTTTGGTTCCCCTTACGTAAGATCTCTAGTTTGAGTTTTGTGAATAAGGAAACAGGCACTGGAAAAGTTTCCCCTAATGATATCCGATACAGCTCAATTTTAAATTAATCTGGATCAATGTGGTTACCAAATACAGAGATTAATACCAAATATATATATATATATATATAAAGAAAAAAAGGGATCACTTAGTGCTGCTTCTTTCACCCTACTCAACAGTTCCTCCCTGTGATTTACACCTTGGAGTTCAACTTGGATCATCTGTTTTCCACTAGAAAATCTCAACTGCATGTACATATAAACAGACTCTAGCTAAGTATATGGCAAGAAAATGTGCCTATGTCTATTGGACAATAAACACATTACAAAATTTCATGTTTTTCTTATTAGCGGAAAGAGCATTTCTAACTTTTCTTAAAGAGCAAAATATTACATAGAAGACGCCGAATAAGGTGATTGGAGCAACTGTTTCTATACATATCACCACTTAATAAAATTGTCAAATGGTAAAAAATGAACCAGTAAAATAAGAAAAAGGGAAGAGAAATCATTTCTTAAGAACCTGCAATCCCCCGAAAATCAAATGCACGTGAGAATCAATAAACCCAGGAACCACAACTTTTCTTTCAAGATTCAAATCTTTTGCTCCGTTTCCCGCCAAATCCTGCATGCAACAAGTTAGTATATCAGTCAATGCCTACGGTAGAGCTACAGCATCTGAAAACCAAAATTACATGGATTGACATTGCAAGATCATCATTTAGCAACAGAACCTGAGGAGAAGAATAGATGCCGACTCGGAGGATCCGGCAGTCGCGAATGACCATGGAATCGGCAAAAGGTAGAGAGGGGTCACTGGTGAAGATGAACCCATTAGTCACTATCAAATTCGCAGCTAATTTCGTTCAGGGAACCAAAGCAGCTCTCCACTTCAACCAATCTACAACATCAGGCAAAGAATCAGGCTTGGATTCATGATACAAAACCATGAATTAAAATGAAGCGAGAAAGAGTTGGAAGTACAGTTGGGATTGAGCAGAGGAAGAAGGAGAATCGAAAGGAAGAGGAAGAGTGAAGCAGAGATGACTATGAAACTATTCATCATCTCTTCTTTAAACCCCTCTTCTTCCTCCTCCTTTATACCATTTATTATAGTGTCACTGGTTGCTGTAAAACCAGGCGACTGAAAGTGTATTTAGGTTTAAATATTATGAGTCGAGGTAATAGATGGAAGTAATAAATATTTAGTGTAATGTGAAAATCAGTACTGGTATGAGTTTTGGTGTAATGTAAGCGGTTAAGGATTTTCAAACCTAGTCCCAAAGGATTTATTTTTTTTTTATATTAATTAAGATTAAAAATAATAAAAATTAACATGAATCTCTTCATTAATATCAAGTGAATTCAATTAATATGTAAATAATTGTAATCTATTTAAAAAAATATATCAAGTGAATTATTTTAATTAAATAAATAATAAAATAAATGTTAATTTTTATTTTTTAATAATAATTAATATAAAAATATTTTAAAAGCATTAGTTTAAAAAAATTTTAATTAATTAATATGATATGCCTAGTGAAAAGAAACATATCATAACATTAAACAATTAAAAGAATACATAAAAAGAAAATTATTTAACAGCTACACTTCTAAAAAATTGATTAAAAAATATCTTATATTAAATCATTTTAATTAATTTTCTTTTAAAAAACCGGCCAAAACCTTGTCATTTTTAACCAATTGGTTGTTTTTTTTTACCCTTTTTTCGGTTAACCTTTTTGGGAATTTGTTTAAGGGGATTGGAGGGGTTTCTTATTCTTTTTTCTTTAATGGCATTATTTTGGGGGAACTTTTTTAAAATAATGAATATAAATTCTTAATCTTTTATGGTCTCTTAAACAATTTATCTTATAAAAATACTTAGACCATGGAATACATATTCCATCTAACCGAACACATTCAAATTGCATTCATCAATCTCAGCTGAATTTTGCATAAACAAGTACTTAAGGTGAACATTAAAGAAAACATGATATTCATTCCAACCACCTCAACCATGCCTTAGAAGCTCCGCTTCCAGCCCTCACTGTCTGGTCAAAGTATTAAGAAGTCATCAAGACAATATCCATCTGCGGTGCAGTGTTAAGTAAAGCTGCAATTGAGCCACTAATACAAAGTAGAGATGAACCACTCATGTATATTGAAAAAAGAGTGGCTCATCAGAAATGTGTTGAGCTTAATTTTGTTCGGAGATAAATGAAAGAACATCTGCCCTATATATACAAAAATGAAAAATAGCAGATGCCAGGAATTTACATAACTTGAGCATGGAAACTTCTAGGAGACGATGGCTGAACTACTGCTGATTTTCATCCTGAGGAGTTTGTGGGGGCACAGAACTTTGGTCCCGGTTCCCTCCAGAGCGTGGTTTTCTGAAATATTTTGCAATGAATTCTTCAGCAAGATCGGGATACTTTCCCTTGACAAAGTTGTCCAGACACTTTCGGTAGGAAAAATCTTCCTTGAAACCGTCAGTTGTGACCACATACAAGCACCTGCTTTCTGGAAAATTCACATGCTTGCTTATCTGTCACATTGAGTTCAGGTTTATCATTGGATTAATAAACAGAACACATTAAGACATACACAATAATGTATGACCATTTGTTTTCTCATGTAACAGATATTGTTTCACATTCATGCATGCAGTTTGAGTTTAAATCCTGGGAATGGGATGGGGAGGATTTTTGGGGGTAGAGGAGGATTATGCAATTATAAGTTTGTTAAATAACCTACAATATCATGCACCAAAAAAATAAAATGCACTAACATGTGGAACTCTAACATTCTTTGTTTCTGTCCTGTGAGGTCCCCTTGGGTAAGAAAATGACTTCAAAAAAGTGGGAGAAAAAAATAATAATAACTAAGCAAAATTTGCGCAATGAAGTATACCATGAAATAGTCAATGCCAGCGCCCATTTTCCTGCCTTTCTCTGGATGATAAGCAAAGACATTGTCAAGTACAAAAGAATGATCATCAGCAGACAGTGGATCCCCATCATTATACCTTCAAACAAAAAATCTCTTTTTCAGCAAACAATGAAACAAATATGAGATGATATGTAGAATTAGCAAAGAGAAGAGATAATAGGAATATGCAGGCAATCAGGGAAAAGTAGAAAGAGAGTAAACTATTACAGATTTGGACACTGGCTAATAGAGGCAGAGTATCTTGTAAAATAGTGCAAATCCTCCTGCTGAGAAGAACCTGGTATTCAATACTCTATCCAACTAAAACTTCCAGACCAGAAATGACCCACTTTAAGCAGAAATTGGCAAAATAACACAAAGGCATCGACTCAAAGGGAATACAAAAAACCACAAGTAACCACCATATTTCAGTAGCACAATCACTCTTACTAGATTTTAGAGGTTACTGATAATCCATATTGTTCTAGGAATTGATGAACATGTTATAAAGAACTTACCCAGAATTGTGCATTATTCTTCTGATAGACTGCATTAATGGCTCAATGTCCACCAGAATATCCTGCTCCTCAGAAGTAAATATATCTAATCTTTGTCTGGTTGCAGTGTATAATGCAGCAAGTCCTCCATCATCATTCAATCCAGATGACCTTTGAGGGTTATTCTTCTTTTGTCTCCATTCCTTACCATTTGAAGCCCTGCCCCTTGAGCCTCTTGACTGTCCCCACTGATAATTATCACCCGGTGTGCTATCACCAGCATCTGTCATTTCCCAAGGATTGGCCCTCAAAGATTCCCCTTCTGCAGGGAGGCTGTCTTGTGTTTTAGACCAAGTAGACCATTCAGTTTCACTTGCCATATTGGTCTCATCCTGTTTGGTAGGATTCTCCCAATCAGACGACCATGCAGTTTGGCTTGCTCTACTGGTTTCTCTGGATGTTAATTTATCACCATCCCCAGCCTTACTGCTCCATCCAGTCCAACCACCACCAGCATCAGAGGATTCACCATCCTTTTTCCCAGTAGCAAATGCAAATCCGTCACCATCCTCAGCCTTTTTGGAAGCTTCTGCAGGGAGGCTGTCTTGTGCTTTAGAATGAGTAGACCATTCAGTTTCCCTTGCTTTGGTAGGAATCTCCCAACCAGAAGACCATGTACTTTGGTTTGCTCTACCTGTTGCTTTGGATGCAAATTTATCACTGTCCCCAGCCTTACCATCCCATCCAGCCCAGCCACCACCAGTATCAGATGATCCACTATCCTTTTGTCCCATGGCAAATGAAAATTTGTCACCATCCTCAGCCTTTTTGCCAGCTTCTAGACCAGTGGCCCAACCACCACATTTGAAAGCTTTATCACCATTTCCGGACTTTCTACCCCATCCCTCTGTGGCAGCCCAGCCATCTTGTTTAGAAGCTATTGCTTTATCAGCAACCCAACCATCGTGCTTGGAAGCTTCTGCATTATCACCATTCCTGGAATTTCTACCCCATCCCTCTGCAGCAGCCCAGTCATCTTGTTCAGAAGTTATTGCTTTATCAGCAGCCCAACCATCGTGCTTGGAAGCTTCTGCATTATCACAATTCGTGGACTTTCTACCCCATCCCTCTGCAGCACCCCAGTCACCTTGTTCAGAAGTCATTGCTTTATCAGCAGCCCAACCACCACGCTTGGCAGCTTCAACATTATCACTGTTCCCAGACTTTCTACCCCGTCCCTCTGCAGCAGCCCAGTCATCTTGTTCAGTTGTTGCTTTATCAGCAGCCCAACCATCATCCTTGGAAGCTTCTGCATTATCACCGTTCCCAGACTTTCCACCCCATCCTGTCACAGCATCAATGCCCCAACCATCACTTCTAGTTTCTTTGACTTCTGTTGTACGGACACCTTGCAAGCCTGATGAATCTTCTTTCCAACTTCCCCAGGCTGTGTTGGGCTTTGAGAATTTATTTCCATCCCTTCCAAATTTATGAGTGTCCCAACCTCCACTGCTGGATCCCTTGTCTAAAGTGACCCTGTCCCAATTTGACTGACTTGGCTGATTGTTTAAATCATTTTCTAATTCCACATTTTCCTCAAAGATTGGCCTATCACCACCAAAGTCCTGCTCTGGGGACAAGCTCCACTCAGCCATTTCATTCTGTGGTAGAAGATCAACTTCTGCACCCAGACAAGCAGTATTTGATTCTTCAGCATTTGCGCCACCAGACACATACAAAAAGTTGTAGACATCAACCCCACCCTCTTGATTGAATCCAACCTGAAAAGTACAAGCAATAATGTTAAAATTAAAATGAAGTGTTTCCAAAAAATTGTCAAAGCTCACAGCCGTAAGGTTAATACCACCAATCGTATTTAGCAGAAATAAATTTATACCCTTTCTCTATCCCATAGGACATCAAACCGTGATCCTGTACCAACAGCTACATGTTTACCCCATGAACAAGCTGCAACTACACTTGATAAAGAATCAAGATGATGCTTCTCAGCAGCCCTCTCAAAACACTTTCTTGGTGTCTGCGCAAACAATAAGCATGAACAGATTAATTTAAGAGGAAAGCCAGTTCATCAACAATGGAACCGCAGAAACAATGTCTCTAACAAGAACTATAAAGTAAGAAACAAGAAAATACTTACAAATAGTGTTGCTTCTGTAAATGGCACTTGGACCTTCAACGAGCGGGACAATGACTTATAACCACCAGAGTTGAAGCCAACCAGATTTCCAGCACAAGTCATACTATTTGCCAAGAGAATGAGATGTTCTTTCAGAATACCTTTAGAGACCATTGTAACTGACTTTGAAAGTCGCTGCAAGTTAAATTAGAAATTTAACGATTTAGAGACAGCTTCATGCTTGAAACTCAACCAAATTTTGAGTACATGTCTATGAACGGCTACACGCTTGATAATTGACAGTTACATTACCAAGAAATAAAAGGAGGATCATGCCAAAAAATAGAGGGGGAGGGTTTCCAGATACCTGTACTGCTTGTTCAAAAGCACAAGAAATCCCAAGCAACTCTTGAA